TCTTTTATGATGTCCACCGATCCACCAGCCTCCAGATTCAGATTCCAATCCACATATTCAGTATAACAGGTTAATTAGGTACAACTATTTCTTAGATCTTAAATATAGTCTTTGTTCAGTGTCATGTTGCGAGTATAATGTATATTGTCATTTATATAAGTATAGAGTGATATATAATTATAAAGTTATATAAGTAATTTACATAAGATTTAATCATATTCATACATATAATCTTACATTGAACCTTCAATTGTGATTATCCTTGAAGCCAAGTGAAAAAACATTTCCAGGTTGTTGATGCAGCAAACCTCTGTGACACTGTATTCATCACACTGAGCACACAGCATATGTGAGTCCACAGAAGGTCTAACATCTGTTAGAGCTCTAGGTTAGGTATGGCATGAATACTTCACTCATGACACACTGTTTAAGGTTATATATTTCAAAATAGTTCTGCAAATGCATATGGATGGGTAATCGATATTAATTTCCTCTAACTGGAGCAAAATATTTTATATGGTGTGCTGAATGATGTCATTATTATTAACAGCATTGTGTAATGCACAATTGTGTGGGGCTCATTCCCCAGTACCTCCCAGGTCTCTGCTATCCTGTACCTTGCAGGTGATTTTGGTGAACATGAGGTAAAGTCTAACCACAGTCTTAAAAAGCATCTGACCAGCACTGCACTCCTGCTGAATGGTTCTTCTTAAGACCAGTTCTTACTTCACTTTTCCTTTGTGTGCTTTCGGTTGCACAAGGGGGGAAGTGATTTAAATTTCGTCATCAGGGATTGGCGGCAGACGGCTGCGGTCTGTCAGCGTGTGGCCCAGATTTTTATGTCTAGGGGGAATCGTGCACATTGACTATGCATGTACTGTATAAGATAAATGACTAGGTATCTCCAGTAGGTGGCATATATGTAGAATCGGTCCTTTCAATTTCTTCAGATCAAACCAACAAATAGCAATAACTCTGAAAGCCTTGTCTCATTTATATTTGTTCAAGATTAATGATATAGCTGGTGTGATGAACTGCTGACGGAGCTACAGTTACTGGACCCAGTTCGCAGAGTGTTTAGGGGGGCAACCAGGAGCGGACAGTCACTGGTCACCAGCCTATTGTAAGCAGCGTTCTTGTTATGCTCCCAATTAGCTAGTGATTACGTTTTTAACATTTAAACTGGGTTGTCAACTTTGGTCAGCTGTCTAGCATGAGATTTTCAATTCAAAACAAGTCTGCACACACATACACACGCATTTACATGTATGTAACACTTTTATTACCTTTTAAATAGTCAGGGTTTGCAAACAACCCCAACACTTTTGATGTAGCTGATTTAGGTTTATAATGGAATGATGCAGATTTACAATAATATTTTTTGTTTTTTGCGTGAGTCTGAAAGCGTGAGTGTCTCACCAAATGTGTGAGAGTTGGCAACCCTGATTTAAATACAGTGAAATACATAAATAAAAAGAATCAGTTATAATGATCATCCGCTTATAGCGATCAGTTTCACCCAGGCAGATGTGATCACTATAAGCAGTTTCCACATTATGTGGATTTGATTCCCAAACATTTCTGTGAGATGACGTCAGCTTAAAACCTATGAAAATAGGCACAACATTCGGTCATGTTTGTTTTTGAGAAATTAAACCTCTTTTATTGTTTTATATTAAAAAGGCAATAATGACAATATTCAATAACAATATTTTAAATGCCAAAAAATGCCAGTGTCTAAGACTTTGAATGGTTTAGTCCTTAAACTATATGATTCTAGCTTTATTATAAACCATCTCTGAGATGTGTTTGGTTTAAACTTCAGCAACGAATATGGAGTGGAACACAACTCATGGACTATGATCTTGCCAGTGTTCACCGAGATACAATATCGAAAATATAAATGTATCAATGACTTTTATAAGATTAATAAAAATGTTTGGATCTTAAATTGTGTAACAGATATTGAAACTGACTAAAATGTAGATTTCAAATAGATATTTAGCTTATAAATTTAGATTATCCAGTTAATGTCTTATTAAAACTTTTTAAAGACATAAGATGTGAAATGATTTGAAAAATTATGTGACATTTCACAAAATTACCGATTATTTCCAAAACATCTGAATGTTTAAGTTATAAGCAAAATGGTAGATACTTCATTCTTGGCGCTCCCTTTTTGGCCAGTAAGTGACGAGGTGGCCATCTCCTTTCGGGTGAACACGACCCCAAGCAGGTCACAGACCAGCTTTGTTGGTTGAAGGTGATTGCACCTTTGCAGTTTAATCCTGCTGACCTTTAGTCCCTCACCAATGAGAACCTTGAAATTCAGATGAAACATCAATAACATGTTACAGAAAAACTGAAATGAAGTGTCCTTGGACTCATCAGTTAATATTAGCTACCGTTTCACTATTTGATC